GCTTATGAGTTCAATCCGCCGTATCAAAAAAGAAAAAGAAAAAAGAAAAAATAATTTTATAGTTAAAACTGAAAACCAGAGATAAAATCTTAAAACTAGATAAAGTAATAAGGTAGTGATTAAAAAGTAACCACGATTTGTTACTTGACATCACTGATAAAATTTTTTTAAAAAAGTGATTTCAGATAGAAGAATGGAGGATAAAAGAATGAAGAGCATGAAATGAAACATATGTAGGTATATCTTAATGAGCAGAGACTATATAAAAAAGATTGTTCTTGGGGGGAATCTAAGACATATGCAAGCTTAAAACAATGTTCTGTATGTGAAGAGGGAGAACTATAGACAGTGTTTTAATATATTTATATTTTCAGGCACAATTCCTGACCATTTAAAATTGGGGATGCAGTTATCTAGGATAATCATTAAAAGAATAGTAAAAGGCTGCATAGCCTCTAATTTGCATGAGGAAAGTTAGTGAATAAGTATTAAATCGATTGAAAAGAATATGAGAAAGTAGAGAACAGTTATATATAGTAGGTAGAGTTAAACATGGATATAGCAGTACTTACATTAAATGTACATGGTTTTGTTGCAGTAATCAAAACAGTTGAGTATCCATGAAAAGATAAACACAGAAATGGGTGGAACAAATTAGAAAGTCCTCAAATATACTGTCAGTAATTTGGTTTACTCAGAAGCAAATTGTGTAGTCAATTGTGTGTTTGCATGAAAAAAATAAAAAGAAACTAACATATCTCAACACAAAATTAATTCCAGATAGATCAAAGAATTAAATGTAAAATCCAACACTATTAATCTTCTAAATGAAGATATCTGGAGTGTGAGTAGGCCAAAATTTTTTACATGAGACATAGAAAATACTAAAAATAATGTTAGACTTCATCAAAATTAAAAACTTTGACTCTTCAAAAGGCACCACAAAGAAAAGGAAAATGCAAACTATGAACTGGAAGGGAGTGGGATGAGAAATGTGTAGCAATAGAAACTTTCCTATTCCATTAGTGGGAGTTTAATATTGCTATAACCACTGGAAAGATTGTTCAACAGTATCTATTAAAGTTGGAGATTTGCATGTCAGACGACCCTGGATTCTACTCTGTGTTTATATTCAGTAGAAATTTGTGCAGATGTGCACCAAGAGACTCACACAAGAGTGAGTTCACAGCAGCAGTGTTGTACATGCAGTAGAAGGTACTACATAGCAATGTTAATGAGTCGACCATGTTTATGTTAGCATGGATGATTCTCGGAGATATACTGAATGAAAGAGGCTGGATGTGAAAGAGTACATACTGTCTCACGAACTTCATGTAAAGTCTGTCAGCAGGCAAAACTAACCTGCATTACCTAGGGATACATATTTCAGTGGTAAAACTATAAAGAGAAGCAAGGAAAGATCAGAAGAATCAGTTCATTTGTAAGAGGAAAGAGGTGGTAATTGCAAGGGTGTTTTGGGGGGTGTTGGCAGGGTTGTTTGTTTATCTAAATGGTTGCATGTTTCTCTTTTTTAAATATTAATTTGTTGCGCTACATATTTGTTCTACGTGTGGTTTTTCTTGGTAGGGGAGAGGGGGAATATATGTTTTATTCACAATAAAAATAATTTAAAAAGAGGAATATTTATTGGCACAGATAAGTGTTAGCATGAGATAAAGGCATGTTACAGAAAAAGATACGTTTAAACCACTCACAGTTTTTAATGTGTGTGTATCAATGCACACACATACACACAAATTCAAAATCATCTAGCAAAGAGAAAAAAACAAAGGTTATAGAACAGAATGAATACTGATAGACATCAAGATTTTACATGAAATTTGTTCTATTTTGTAACTAAAAATCCCTTCATTAAATGTTGTTTTATAAAAATTAACCTTATAGAGGAAATTGTCTTCTATATGAAAAATTGGGTTATTTAGACTTGCTCTGTTTACCTGAGGATTTAATACTGCTCTATATACAGTAAGTAGCATTTGAGTCAAAGACACATACACAGAGAACAAGACTTTAATAGTTAAAATATGCCTTAAAAATACCTTAGCTGCAGGAAGAATGATAGAAATTATCCAACACTCTTTTAAACTATTTCCAGCAGTCAATATTCTTTTATCTTTTTTCCCCATATTTTTTATTAGTGCATTATAGTTGTGCATATTGATGGGATTGTTGTTACATATTTATACATGCACATGATATAACAGTATAATTTGGCTAGTAAAACTCCACAGCATTTCCCTACTCCCTCCCCACCTCCCACCTCTTGGTCCCTTTCCTCTACTGATCTCCGTTTGGTTTTTAGGAGATCTAGCCCCATCTTTGTTTTCCTTTTTCCTCTTTAGCTTCTGCTTATAAGAGAAAATTACAATCCTGAACCTTTTGAGTTAGACTTACTTCACTTAGCATGATGATCTCTAGTTAGTTCCTTTATCTCTCAGCACAAAAAAGATTAATTTTTTATTTAGTTAATTAAAGGAAAACGGAAATTTGATTTTTAAAGAGAATATTGTCTAGAGCCATGGAATTTGGTCAAAACAGTTGACCTCCTGTGGCTTCAATTTTCTATCCTAAAAGCAACCTGCCCCATTTTTCACTGTTGTTTGGAGTACAATGTAACATAAATATTTAAGTAGTGGTGTTAGCATTGATGATATACAGAACTGATTTCTGGGATCTCTTGGGAAGGCAGATTGCCATGGGAATTAAGAATTTGGGTCTGGAATAGAATCTGGTTTTGATTCCCAGCTCTGCCACTGCTAGCTGTGTAATTGTTGTTTTACTCTAGTTCTCTCCCTTCGTTTCCCCTTCTTTAAAATTTAGGGCAGAAGCATAGAGGGTTGTAAATTTTATATCATATGACTCTGTTCCCCTCCACACCTGCCCAGTCCTTCCCTGTGGTATTTCTTGTTAGCATTGACACTCTGGGAGAGAGTACAATACACACTGCAATCAATATGTTCATCACACCAAACTCCTTTTCTGTTCTTTATGATGTGGCACTTGTTCAGAACTACTCTTTGGTAAGATCAGCACAGATAGGTATAAGGAAGCTTCCTTAGCACTGGACCCAGTTCTATGTTTTGTTGTTTTAAGTAAGTTGTTTTCTGATTTTAGTTCCAGTTAGCTTTTACTCCACAGTATAAGCTGGAATCTTCTAAGTCCTGTTGGTCACAGAGGAACTGTGTTGCTCCATAGGCTCTGTCCATGGATTTAACTGAATTGAATTCTAAGCAGCTTAAAGAAATTTTTCTGGCCAAAGGCATTATCTCATCTTGAATTTATATAATACTCTCAATTCCTGACTAGCTTTTCACTTTGAATGGTTTTTTATTGAATTTATTTCTCCAGTTGTCCCTTAGTCTTCCCATTCTGGGTACCTACAAATACACTTTTTAAAACTATTTACAGTTAAGTTTCCTCCTGTTTATTCATTCCAAACACATTATTTCCATCATATATTTTGAAACCTAAAGACTGACCTTCTGTGTGAACCATTAAATGGTTAATAACATAAATCTATTTTGCTATATAGTGATGAGGGATCTATTTATTACATATAAATGTCTAACATTTAAATGTATCAAATAGTTTACAAAGATTTGGCCTTGATTTTGCAATTTTTGTCAGAAAAGTTTCAGCAGCAAACTGACCAGGGTATGTGATTGGCATGTTAAGCTCCTACAAGCCAGGCATAATAGGAAGCTTTTCCATGTCAAAATTGGCTTTTTCAAAGGTGTTTTACAATTTTAAAAGTAAATTGGAAAAGTGAGATTCTAGTGAATTTATAAAGGTTTTCATTAATTTCTCCATACTTTTCACTTAGTGAAGTAGTTACTTGATTTTTGTTGTTTTTTCTTGGTGAACATTTATGTTATCTTTTTAAACCTAACTATGTACTTTTGTATGGATGGAGAGGGTTAGAAGTCAAATCTATGATGGCATCCAAAAGATGACAGTGCTGTGACAGTGAGTAAACAAGAATGGTGCTATTTTTTTTTTCACACTATTCAGTTTCCCTCTGATGTGCCTAAGAGGCACATTCATTCTATTTCATTCATGAATAGAAAATTTTTTATTAGTCACAGAGCTTTGGCATACTGTGAGATAAATTATTTAAAGTATAGTCACTTGAATTAGCATTTAATAGGAAAATAAATCAGTAATAATCCTTTTCAAGGTAATATAAAGTTAGTAATATCTACTGAGGACAATCAAAAAGAATAGGAGTAGGGTATGATTGCTTTTTGTAGAAAGAAAAATTTCATTCCATTTCTAAATGTTAACAATTGCAAGAGGAAAATCCCCACTGGGGAAGAATGCTTCCCAGGTAGCTTCATTGCCAAGTGTTGACACTGCATGGAATCTCACATGAGTAAAGTAAGGCTTATAACAGTCTTTGGGAATGATGCACTTCCAAGGACCTTTGCTTCCTACTGTGAAAGTTTCTATTTTCAAAGCACACTAGAATCAGTGGGAAAACTCCAGTCTTCTCTTTGCTACTTCTAATAAAGACTAAAGGTTTTACCCCTGAATCTAGGGAAGCTGTGGAAAAGATAACCTATCTGCTAACAAAATAAATTTCAGAATGTTGTCAATGAATGAGCTACATGTTCTCTCTACTTTTATAGGATTGGACTGTGTCGTTTGTTTATGGAAATAAGTCTTGTTTTCTTGTGGTCCCTTTTAACACCATTGTATACTACAGATATGATTTACAATCATTCCAAAGTTTAAAAAAATCCAAATAATATGATACTTGCTTTGAGACCATTCATATCTTTCCCTTTCCCTTTTCTCTCTCCTTGACCTAGCAGCAGGAAGCCTTTGTTTGAGGTGTTCATCTGGAACAACTTTTCCACACTTGTTTTCATGTTCTGTTAGATTACAGGGCAGCAGGCCTACCTTTGAAGCTCCTTTCTCTTTTGTTTCTTTGCCGTGCACTCCAGTAATTAACTTTGTCCTTCTTTTATTTGTTCCAGTCAATCGCAGGCCACTCTGCTGAGCATCTTCTCCCAGGAGTACCAGGTTAGAAGTTTTCTCCTTTGTGAGGGTTGACAGGTGCCTAATTGAATGATGAATGTCCCTTTATTTCTTTGTAATTGAACTGCCAGCTCTCTGATTGGGTTGGAGGATGTTCTCCTTTCCACATCAAGCACCGCCTGCGTCTCAGTGGAGGCCTGCCAAGCCTACCCATCCATCTGTCTAATAACATCTAGCCTTTGCTTATTTGGTGGACCTGTAATAAATTATGCTAAACCATTATTATTCTGACAATAATAATTTCCCTGTGTTGCGTGGTTCCATGTGCTAAATGTTTGCTGACTTGCACTGTCAGTGCTGCTTTCCATTGCTGACAGAGATGATGATAAATGACCATTGCTGGAGTGGCAGAAGGCAAGAGAGGCAGAAAATGGAGTCATTTATCATGAGATGACAGGTGTCAGTCAAGTGGCAAGTCTCTATGGAATTACTTTTTGTAGTTTTCAAATAAGTTGTTTTTAAGCAATGTTCTTCCTGGTTAAAAATGGCAATTGGATTGTAAAACTAGAGTACAGAGGACTTAGATGGAATTGAATTGAGGGAAAATTAATACAAAGGTTGAAAGAGGGAGCAAGTTTTTCTTTGCCCTCTGCAGCCCTAAGCAAACTTATTTAGATTCAATTACAATGACCCTGTTGGCTTTTACATATATACTGTACCTTGTGGTACAGTCTGAAGACATCCCAGCCAAGCAATAGAGATTAAAATGCATAGGCTCATAGAGTAGAAGGAAAAAAAGTCCTACCACCACCAAAATCCCCAAGCTATTATTCATTTTGCCCTGTATGCTAGTCATTGAGATCAAGAAATATGTCATTATTGTTCTTGAACTTGCTCTGTGACACAATGTAAAGATTTTATTTTGTTTTGTTTCAGAAACATATTAAAAGAACACATGCCAAACATCATACTTCGGAAGCAATTGAAAATTATTACCAGAGGTATGACCTGCCTGCCCCACTAGAGGGTATCATAGTACCTATTAATTGTAATAATAATTACGAATAAATTAGATTATCAAATTAATTTTCTTTATTATACCCCAAGACATTGTTTTGAATCTGTATTTAAGACTTTTGGTATATTTTTTAATGAGTTTTCAATTGTAGACCTAAGAATATGGTGATGCTGTCTTATGGTGTGTGTGTGTACAATACTAGGTAGTTAAAATATTATTGAATCTCAGTTGGTTCTTGAAACTTACAATAAGTGCATATCTGTCTAAATGCATATGTCCATATATGCATACATCTATATGTTTATATGAAAATTCTGAAACCAATTTTTAGTTCTTATTTAGATCAGCAAGTCAAAAGAATATGATTGAATTTTGATGTACCTGTGTTTTGCATCATAGGTATTATGTTAGCCACTTTACAAAATAGGAAAGATATATCAACTAAAGACATATGGAAATACATCGTATTGTATGATTGTCACATTTTAAAGAGGGTTTTATATTTTAAAAGAAAATCTTGGGCATCAAATCAACAACATGGTATCCAGAAGCTATTTTAATTGTAGCATTACTTATTATAAATACTTTTCAGTCTCTTGATCTGAAACAAACAGAATCTTAAATAACTGATTTTTTTTAATTTCTAAAATTTGTACTGTTATTATAATATGACTTAATAATTTATAACACTAAAGGTTTGCATTAGAAATGGTTGGTTTCTTAAATATTTCACGGGCATATTGGAAAGGAAAATTGTTTGAAATATGCTCTTAAATTATTATACTCAGATTGACAGATCAACCTTTTCTGTTTGAGAGTGACACCACTGATTTCAGATGAATGATTTTTATGCACAAAAATTTTATGAATGAAATAAATATGTGGATAAAGTTGGTGCCATATTTCTGTAGTCATTTTTAAGAATTGAGGTATAGGTATTGAACAGAGAAGTTATTGAAATTAAATTTTTTTTTAAAAAGTATTCACTCAGCCATTGATAAAATGTTTTCTTTGTTTTGAGTAGTTCAATCTATTAAAGATACATATGCTTCTCTTACTCTGCTTCACACACTTGTGTCTAGGAGAGTTCTTCTCTGAACAGTCTTTGTAAAGTTTTAAGTAAGTTATTCAAAAGTCACAACTACCTTATAACATTTAAATTTCAGTCATAACCTTGATCTTATATTATAAAATTAAGACTGTCCATAAAGTCCTGTGAAAGCTGTGGCACTCATGCTCTCCAAAGAAAGATTGAAAAGCCATTTTTTACATGCCAAAAAAATACATTCTTGTTTGTAAACCTTCTAGTGCTAGACTGTCATAGAAAAGCATGCTTTGATGTCCAGATTTAAAACCTTGAAACACAAGCTGAGGAGAAAAGACCGTTTTAGAGGAAAGTATACTCTTTTCTTAGAAATTTGCAAGTCTATTATCAGGTGGTAGGGCCACCCTGTGTCACTTGCCTCATTGTAAAAAGTTGTTTTTTGTTTTTTTAAATTAGATTCTAATATCTCTGCTACTTTTTAAAATATTAGTTTCATTAAAGAACATTTTAAGTATGGAAGTATGAAAATACATTTTTGGATTATCTGGGTAGTTTAGGCCAGAGACAGACATTTTTCACATTGTCACTCAGTAATGAATGGTTGAGTGAGTAGTAATGAGAATATAGAAATTTATTTCTGTATTCTGAGGAGCTAGAGCATTTGAAACAAAAACATGAAGTTATGCTGTAATGAACAGATTCAGAAGAAAGCAGTCTGACCAGTTTCTTACCTTATCACTAGTTTCCTTCCATACTTCTGTTGTGCACTTTGTGACCGAGGATAAGCATGTTGTTACCTTTCGGATAGATTGACCTCACAAGCCTCTTGTTCTAAATGTGCAGGCCCAATGTCCCTGTTTTCACTAAGATAAATTGGTCTTGAGAGGTTTTTGTTTGTTTTCCAGCTGATTATAATAAAGGCAAACTGTTGAATGAAAGCATATTTAAGCAGTTTGAAAATGTTAGTGACAAATTATTTTTTTGCTTTATAAATTAATACTCCTCATTAGAAAAATTAAGCACCTTTGTGATGGTATTAAAAAAAGAACAAATGAGTACGCATACTTGTGCCATTCAGAGATAACTGTTGGTTAAAATTTCATTCCAGTTTTTTGTCAACCCATTTTTTAAATATTTTTTTTAGTTGTAGGTGGACACAATACCTTCATTTTTATTTATTTTTTAATTTTTATAATTTTTTTATGTGGTGCTGAGGTGCAAACCCAGCGCCTCACCCGTGCTAGGCAAGCACTGTACCACTGAGTCACAACCCCAGCACCTCAATCCATTTTTTTATATAGATGGTCATACTTAAGTCATAATGTACATGCAATTATGAATTCTGAATTGTATACTCAGAAAAATGTAAATGATATAATAGTATTTTGTAAAAAGCTTCTTATTTTATTAGTTGCCTTACTTTGTCATATGAAAGTATCAAAAGATACTGAACTATTCCTCCATTGAACATTTATGTTTTCATTATTTTTGATATTGTAGATAATACTGTGATAAACATCTTGATTCATGAGTCTACATTTTGGATTCAATTTTTTATGATTCATGAGTCTACATTTTGGATTCAATTTTTTATGTCTTTGTATATTGGGGCTGGGCCTCAGTGGTAAAGTGCTTTCCTTGCATGTGTGAGGCATTTTCTTTGTATATACTTACTGGTCCAAACAATGTGAATGCTTAAAAAAATCATTATATGTTGCCAAATTACTGTCTAGGAATATACTGGTTATATTCCTACTCACAATATAAGAGAAATTTGTGTTTTTGTATTCTTGGTAGTATTGAGATAATATTAACTACAAATTCAAAGGATGCATTTCATGTGATTGAGTCATGATCAACTGAAACTTCATAGGATCCAGATAGCAGAAGAAAACGTTTTGAATTACTTTTGAATTACTGAGAAAATTTCCTCAGTTCTCCATGTTGTGTATTTATAGACAGCTGAAATATTGTGTTTAAAAACAATTCTCTATTCTTTCACACTATATTAATGTCATTTTATTTCCAAAGAGGAAACATTTTTGATAAAATTTATCTAGTTTCATCTAACCTGGTACACATGGATTTATGTGCACAAACATAATTGGTTAGATTTGCAAGTCCTCATCAGTAGTGAAGGTCAGAAATACTATGTCTTATCTCCTTCCTTCTCCCAAGACACATTGACTAAGGGGCTACCTTAAGTAGCTTAAGAGAATCAGATCAATTGAATTTTATTCAGATGTTCACACAGAGAAAAGGGTAGTTCAATTATGATATTGACAATACATGATAAAATTTGTACTTTTTTTTTCAGTTAGCACCATTACTGTGTTTGCACCATATCCTATCCACATGCTATAAACTGACTATAAAATGTGACTAACACAGTACCTACCTTCAACTTTTCCATTTAGTGGGAAAGCAGCTGTGTACCTAAATATGTAAAATGTGGTAAGAGAAGTTATCCATTTGAGGTGTGTGGGGTAGCATGAATGTGTACAGTCTAGGAATAAAAGGCTCACCTTTACAAGTTTGTTGAGAAGGGGAGAGCTTTCCATGTTGAGAGAAGGCCTTCAGTAGCAGAGCTATGATGTTTTTGAGGTAGAGTCTAGAGAACAAATGGAGAATGGCAAAATAGCCTGGGAATACTTAGGCAGGTACTGAGGATCTTGTTCAAAGGAGTAGTATTTTTTTTTTTTCTTTTAAATAGGCAGTATGAACCCAGTGGTAGATTTTAAGCAAGGAGTAGACTATACATGTTTTTATGCAGGGAAGGAAGTTCTGTGGCATTATAAACAGGATAGATGGTTGGGTGAGCTGCAAGCAGGGAAGCCTCCTACGCTAGCTCTTGGTATAGTTTGGGGGAGAGAGACTGGCAGCATTAGCAGTGGGGATGGGTTATGGAGATTTTAGAGGTAAATTCAGCAAAAATACTGTTTAGGTGTAAGCCTAGCATGATAATTTAGGTAGGTTTTTGAAGTTTTGCCATTAGATTTATTATAAAAATATTAAAGATCAAATAACTTTATCTTATATTTAAAATAAGTATATATTATTTAGTTTTAGATGCTAATGGATCTTTCACAGCCATAAAACATAAAGTAGGTCTTCTCAAAGGATCTTCTCAGGATGACTTCACCCATAGGCTATATATTTGTTGGTCCCCCATGGCAGAACTAAAGGATGAGGTGTGGCTTCTAAGTGAAGTAGTTTTAATTGACAAATGGGCCTTAGGAATGGAGCCCAGATTACCTAATGTATTGTTCAGGATGATCTCCTCATATCCTCTTCGCCACACAGGTCTTTGCTAGGGATCTGTTGGATATTTGTGAGGTCATACTCCAAGGAGCTTCCTGTCTAGTTGGAGAGAAAAGCAGACCATTATGCCAGTGTCAGAAGTACAATGCTGTAAGTTTGCACATCTGTGATAATTCAGAGAATGATAGCATCTTTTCTTTTCTTTTTTCTTTCTTAGAAATAGGATCTTGTTGTGTTACTCAATTATTCTCTAATTCATGGGTTTAAATGATCCTCCTGCCTCAGCCTCCTATGTAGCTGGGTCTACAGGCACGTACCACTAACCCGGCTCTACAATTTCTGATTATGTCTCTATTGAATATTTTGGATACTTCAGTATGTTTCTTTGAGTGCATATATGAAAATCTGAATATAGCCTAATCTGTTGCTTTCATGTGGAACCACAATTAAGTTTTCACAAAGAACAAAATGAACCTCAAGTTAAATGTAATTACTCCCTCCCATCCCCCAAGCATTTCTGAAGTGTGGTAGGAAATAGTTGGGAAACAAATGGGGCATAAATTCATTAAGAAGTAAGTTTACTGTTTTCATATGAAGGCACCCCCACTAGGCCCTGGGCCAGGGGTCAGGGTTCCCTTTCTGAGCTGTACTGCTGCCATTAGAGCCTGGGAAGGTTTCATCAGTGCACTGGGATTAATTTTCCTAATTTGAACAACTGAGAAGCTATGGCCAACCACATAATTTCTAGTGTAATAACATCCTTCAGATGTTATTCAGACTATATAAATACAGGGGATTACTATTATTGCTTGACCATGTCCTGTTTCTTTAAACTTGGTGGCGGTTTCCATTGTTTATTACCAGGATAAAGATTGATGCAACATCTATGTGAAATCATGTAATTTTTATTCTAAACAGTAGTTACCTGGCAGAAGAAGTGGTCTGGCATCTAGCTATTCTCTCGTACTATGTCCAGGAAGCCCTGGAAACATGTACCTTCATCTCATGTAGAGGAGACACCCAAGTGCCTCTCTTATTGAGGGTCTTCCTGACTAACCCATCTAAGTCTAAATTTTATCATAACATGTATGTTATATATTTGTTCCCCCTTGTTTTTATTGAGTGTCTCTCCACTATAATATCTCTGTGGTGGTGGAACAAGTGCTGTTTTATTCCTTGATGCTTCTTCAGAACTTGGACTAAGGCCCAATCCATAGCTCTCAAAAATACTTGTGGATACATGGATGTTTAATAGAAAATTGTAAAGATATCTTAATATGGGTTTAGGATTAAGTATCCTGGCCCAGACAGAATCGGAATCCTTAATTAGTATGCACTTCTGGGGTTACAAACATGATTAGCTGGTGACTTGACTGAGCTGATTGGTTGTTGCCTGAGCAGGCCTATCCTACGCTGGAAATGTTCATGTCAATTGTGGTTCTTAGCTGACTTATTTCTCAGAGACCATCCTCTAAATTGCACTTGTCTTTGTTATTTTTTCTTGTTGCATCTAAAAGTCCTTATTTCCTAGTAAGTTTACTAAATAATATGTTCAAGAAGGGTCCCATTATGTGGAAATTGGATTTGTTAGAATTATTTTAAAGTTATAATAACCCTGACATTCTTCCTATCTTAAAAAAAATTGCTTTTACAACATCTTTGTTACAGTGAGTGATGAGTTTAGGTAGACAATTCTCCCAAGTCCCACCTTATCCAGAGTTTTGTTATCCATGGTGTCATTTAACCTGTGGTCATCTGGCATATGGCTTGATGATATTTCTTATGACTTAGTATCTGAAGATTGGTAATAGCCTCACACTGTGTAACAATACCTGTGTCATAAATCTTATCTCATCACATAAGCATCAAAAGAAGGGTGAGTATAGTTAAATAAGATTTTGAGAAATATCACATTTACATAACTTTCGTTATCGTATTTTATTATAATTGTTCTGTTTTGTTATTGTTAATCTCTTAGAGTGCCTAATTTGTAGATTAAATTTTATGATATGTATGTATGTCTAGGGAAAAACAGTATATTTAGGGTTTGGTATTATCAATGATTTGAGGTACCATGTCTTGGAATACGTCCTTTGAGGATCAGGGTGGATGACTGCAACTAGGAGAATGCAGTGCTATAATATATGATGGGGAGACGTACAGGCTGCCGCTCAGTTGCCTGTGCAGGGCATGATGTTACACTTGAATGGTGTTAGATTGAAGAAGGTGACATCTGGGATGATTCCTAACTTATCCAGGTGATGAGTAAGAGTAGGGGATAGTGACTGGAGATGAGGCTGGCAGAATGGAGTAGATAGATTATGAAGAACCTATCATAGAGCTATTAAGTAGTAATAATTTAATCTTGAGATTTAGCATAGGGCCTTCAAAATATTTGAAGGAGGAGAATAGCATATTCAAATTTTTGTTTTAAAAAATTCACCCTGTCTTCCTTGTGTTGGATGGATTTGGGGAATTTTGTTTTTGTTTTTGGTTTATGGTAAAGTTATGTGTTGATGAGAGCTGGAGGCTGTTAGAGAAATCCAGGGCAGATAAGTTGGTGGTTGTGTTGCCTATCAAAGGTGTGCTTGCCTCCTGGTGACAAGGCTGTTCCCTTCTTTTCTTGATAAGGTATTAACAGCCCTCTGACGCAGAGGTAAAGAAAAAGGTGAGATGAGTACATGTATGCTTTCTTCAAATTATGAGAGTCACTTGTTTTCTTTCCATTTGACAGTTGTCTATTGTATGGACAAAGTCAGAATGATATGGAAAGTTCTTTAGAAATAACCTCTTTGTTCACTTTGACATTATAAAAGGTGTAAACAACGGAGACTGATGTGCTCATACCTCCTGGCCCTACTTCAGTTAGTTAGTTAGTTTTGAAGTAAGTTGTTTTTGTTATCCTTTTCTCTTTAGTGCTTTTCTATGACAGTAGCATACTTTAACAGGAGTTGAACATGGCATTTGCCCAGGAGAAATGTGTACACACAGGGGATACTGACAAGTCTATACTGGCCTTTTCTCGTCACTGCATTATCACTTTGCTTTGTCTTGTCTAGGTACCTGAATGGAGTGGTGAAAAATGGAGCTGCCCCAGTGCTCCTTGAGCTGGCCAATGAGGTAATATTATTGTTATGATTTTATTTAAACTTGCACAAAACCTAAGGGGCCTATCTGAAGTAGTTTGCTTAGAATTATAATTAACCTTAAAAAAGATTTTTGAGGTATATTAGACATTTAAATTGTTCCCTGGTCTCTTTGTACTTTTAATAATTGGACAAAGAACTTCATGTGTTAATAAATCAGTTGACATAATTAGTCTGCCTCTTTTAAAGCAAATGTATAAACAGCTTCTTAGTTTCTTATTTTGTGGAAAACTTAAACCAAGCATCTCAGGACATGCTCTTCTTAGGATATGTTGTCTTAATTTAGTGTGAGAAATACCTGTGTCAAGTAAAGAGATGTATGCCAAGAAAATCTATGCTAACTGTTGTAAAAATGAAGAGAGAAATTGTATACTTAAAAATGTAACATTTACTTGATACATTTTTTTTTGTTTGCAAACCTTTATTATTGCATGCCTTCTAGAAAAGTCTCTTTCTAAGAAGAAACATAATATTCTTATTAACACCAGTATAAAGTGATTTATTGAACTTGTTTGTTAACTCTGATCTGCTTCTGTTTGGGGAAACAACTAACAGCCTTACATTTAAAAAAGGAAGCCCTAAAGATTTCTTGTGAATGAAGAAGCTATAAAAAGTTCATAATAGTTGCAGAGAGCAAACCAAAAAATAAAATATTTAATTCCTAAACTCTAAAATATTTATCCACTGTAATAAGAGTAATACAATATTTAGTCTGACTTGGAAAGGCTTATGCAAACCTCATAGGGATGGAATGAAATGTACACTGTTTTTGTGTTGCATTATAATGGAAAACATAGAAGCAAGGCAGAAAATGTGTGTTTGCATTAAAGATGACCCCATACTATAAGCATTAAGTGTTGCAGTAGCAGCAAGTTCTACATGTTATATTAGCAAGGAAGGATGGCTTCCCTCACAGCTTCTGTCTGCTGTACTCCGCTGCAGTCAGCAAATGAGCAATTGCCTATCAGTAACTAGAAGGTTTTAATAGTCTAGGCAATGTCTACACAATCTGATAGGATAGTTAACATATAGAATGAATTTTTCTTCTCCTTGCAAAACATGTATTTTATTCGTTTTTTTTTTTTTTTTTTCTGTTTCTGAAGCAGGGTACTCTTTAAGTGTCTCCAGACTTGTTTGTTACAGGTTGATACTATAATAACTTGAGGTATCTGAGCTATAATTAGATGTTTAGTGATTGTCTTTTGTGAAAAGAAAGAGTAAGCTAACACCATTCCAGATAAAGCATTTAGAAAGAAAGTGATGCAAATATGAAACTTATTTTTATAGATAATGATGTTGACATAAAGTTTTATATAGTAGCAATTTATATTCATTTGAAGTTTCAGTGGATAGTTCTATTGAGCTTAACTTATTTAGCGGACCTCAACTTCCATCTTCTAACAATATGGAAAAATTAAATGCACCAGAACATGTTCCCCTACATCAATATATCTATTATTTACCATGAATGTATAGAGATATATAGCCAAAAATTATTGAAGGATTTTTTTATTTCTGGCTGCAGATGAATAAAAAGAGAATAGCACTTTCTCTGAGGTTTCTGGGAATGACCTGTACCAGATTATGGCATCTAAACAACTAAGCTGCTATTTTTATATGATAGTTAATACTTAAATGACATATGTTTGCATCTAGTGACAACTGATATGATGGTAATACTTTATGAGTCAATATATATTTAATCAGTGGAAACTAAAAATTGATGAGAAGTATATAACATTGATACATTACAGTGCACAGCAACTCCCTTAGATAAAAGCACTGCATTGTTGATTTGGGGGGTAAGGATTATAGGTGGCTGTCATTGATCTTATAAATGTATTAATACTACCTTTCCTATTCCAAGGATAAAAATGAACATTTTAGGAAATCTCTTTGTTAGTGCTAATAAGATCAGTCATTCTGTTCTCCCCACACAAATATTTTCAAGTTAGATTTGAAGCACTATGAATTTTACTTACATGCTAAATTCTGACATGAAGCATGATGGCCCTATTTCAGAGAGAGATGGACACATGATTAATATGAAAATTAGGGAGATGCAAGTACCTGAACTAATAAGGTAGTCCTTATTCAGGCTGGACTACCTTCAGTAATTTCACCATTTTTCATGTGTCAGCTCTGATGTGGGTTACTAGGAATAAGCAGCTTCATGGAAAGCATTTCTTTCTACTTGGGGAATTTAAGGGCATCCAAGTACATACATATTTGAAAAAACTGATCATACAAATGAAGCTAGCCTTTTTGTCTAGTTACTAAATCAAGATAAAATTTTGGTATGAATACAGGACTTGAAAACCTGTCAGGAAAAATTCATGGTGATAATATATGAGGAACATTTGCTGTCTTATCCCTAAGATTAAAAGACTTGTTTTAGGGAAGCACTATTGCTCTTAAAAACTACCTATTTTCTGTGCTGGGGTTGTGGCTCAGCGTAGAGCACTTGTCTTGCAGGTGTGAGGCACTGGGTTTGATCCTCAGCACCACATAAAAATAAATAAACAAAATAAAGGTAGTGTCCATCTACAACTAAAAAAAAATTTTTTTTTAAATACCTATTTTCTGGTTAAATTAAATCATGTCTAATGAAACATTTGCGAAACAGAAGACAATACCTTTACAAAAGAGTAGATGCAGTTTTTATTAATTAAAATGTCCATTCAACTGAGTACTCTTTGTTTTGTGTTTGATCCCTTATTTTTAAAAAAGTTAACTTGCTAGGTTCTATATTAAATAAATTGATAAGGAGCATTTCAGATAGGCCTAAGGATGGTAATCTTATATTTACAAATATTATTGTTGTATGTTATTATTGATGTTTCTGTGATATAGTTATTTTTCTTTTGTCAAATAAAATATTTTGTTAGGAACTTATACCAAAATTTCATTTCTCATTAAAGATAAAATCAGTAAACTTCATAATTTTAATTACTAAGATCAATTTGATTCATTTTTTGAAAAATTACTATGGAACAGAGAGTTTTTAATTTTAAATTTTGTCCAAAATAATGTAAATTTAGACAAGTGGGTAGAAAAAGGGATGACTAGAATAAAAAATAATATTGGCATAGCAACAAAAAAAAATTGAGAGGTGAGAAAAACCTATTTCACTGTTTTAGATAAATACTATGCACTAGTTTTTCCATCCATTTTGTTCCAATGTTATATTCAATAAATAAGACCTGTTTATTCTTTTCAACAGCACAGATCATACTTGTTATAATTTTATTATAATGGAAGCCACCAAGGGTGGGAAAGATTTTAATGAATGATGCTTGCTGTGGTTGATTAAAATTGACTTAATCTTCATTGTTGACAAAATATTGGAATATCAACTGCTTGCACATCTTGACAGTTTTAATTTTCTACTTCTGCTTTATAAAGGTGGACTATGCACCCTCATTAATGGCTCGGATTATACTGGAGAGGTTTCTACAGGAACATGAGGAAACTCCAC